ATTCAGTAGTAATATTTTGAATACAATCATATTATTTATTTAATTCACTAAAATTAGATTAATGATCAGTGAATTTCGAAAAGAACGTTAAAATCTAATTCATTTGGTATTGTTTGCCTGTATCTACCCATTGTAGTTTAGAACAGCAATTGATTCGTCTCTTGTTGGTATATGTGCATATTGTGTGAACTGCCTCGATATTGCCTTAAGTCGCAAGCTTTTTAAGCAATCTGAACTCAGTAGTTGAATGCAGGACGCGATAGCGTTCGAAGCGAATAGTACTGGGTTTGAATCCCGAAATGAACATGAACTCTGGGATGCATGTACATCCAGCTGACGAGTCCCAAATTAGTCGAAACGCACGTCCTGGATTCCACTGCTAACCACTATCCATCTTAGCTTATAAAGTGAAAAGATATTGTGTTTTCAGATGAAATGGATGGTCTGGGTTCTATTCTCATATGTGTATTACTAATTTGTCTGAAAGCAAAACTAAAATGCTTTCAAGGACTCTCTTTCTCTGTATAGCATCAACTCATAATAAAGATTACTATTACATGAATTAAGTGTTATTTCTGGACATAAAGAAAGCTAAGAATAAAAATAATATGCTTGTAATATTTTAATGGAAAGACATACTAGAATTTCTGACGTTTCGTGACTCAGTGTAAGCCACTTCTTCAGAGAATAAATAACCAAATAGTACAAAGGAACAACGCAAATTATTATGTGCGATTAATCATAAAAAACAGGTCTGAACAAGTCAATGTCATGTCATTTCGCTCAAGATGATTTATAAATGATATGTATGTAAATTCGTGGGTGTATGTAAGGTTGGGGATGAAAAAATGTGACTTTTGTGGTAAGTAAGGATAGAGATTAATATATATGTAAGATAATAGTGTGAAATGTGAATAATATCAGACATGGTAGCTAGGATGGATGATCCACGTCGGATGGATAGTGAGGCCTTCTTTTCGATTGAGAGTAGTAGGATAAAGCATTATATGGAAAGCTTCAGTTACGCTCTTTTCTTTGTAGTTGGAATAGCCGTTTTGTAATATCTTGATATTTTTGAAATCGATTTGGTGGTTATTAAAAAGGCCTTGAACTCATGGGAATATTACAAATATTTATTCGAAAGTATCAAGTCAAACTTTAGTAAAAATACCTATGAAGAAAGTTCAAAATATAAGTCGTATGTTGTTTTAGAGATATATTCTACAGTACAAATAGAGATTCAAGATTAAGTAGATAAGTACAATTTCCTTTGTATCTAACATTTTGGTGGTTAGTATCAGAAGGGGTTTTGTAGATATTATAGTAATTTTAATAGTTTAGATCATGAGTCAATTGAAGCAAGACCTAGGTTCGAATCTCACGATTCCGGATCGTGGATAAACATTGGTGAGGAGTTCCACAATAGGACGGAACGGCCGTTCAGTGCTTCGAGGTTTTTCATAGTTGTCTAGCTTCAATTGACCCATGATCTCAACTATTAAAATTCATTTGATGTTTGTTCAAAATGGCGTGAAATGTTATTGTCGATTTAATTTGAAGTCTATCCAATTCTACAGGATTATTAGGTGGTCTTTTTATGTACCTAATATGTTTTTTAGTTCAAGTCATGATTTCACAAGACGATTCTCCAAATATAGAAGGCATCACAATTGACATATTCTAATGCGTAGATACAATTCTATATTGACATAAATGGGAGTATATGTTTTAAGCGAACAAGAGTATTTCGAAGGGTGTTCGTTTTTTTGTAATATACTTTAATTCTGTGCTGTCTTAAAATTCTTCTGTTTGACCATAACGGTATAGTAAACCTACAGTACCAATCCATACTGTTTCATTCGAATTATTATTGAGCAGTGAAACTCAATTGTTTTCAATATTGAAGTAATAAAGATAGTAACTTTATAATTGACAAAATGAGGACTTCGTTAATTATTTTATATGCAAGAAATGAAATGTTATAATAAATCCAATTACATAATGATTTGCGCACCTTACAATTTATTTGTAACAAATTATGATTAACATTAAAGATACTAATATTAACTTACTCTAATCTCCATAAAACCCCTCTCTAATTAAAAGGGTTTATTAAAAATTAAATGTTAAACGATTCTATAAGCATGAATCATATTTATCTAGTGTAAAAAATCAAATTGACTATACATAGGTGATATAAGGTAAACATTCAGTGTATTTCATATGCATATGCCATCTTTAATTATCATTTTGAGTTTAGTAATATGTTAGACGACACATGAATTCAACTATTAAATTACTATAATATTCATAAAAATCCCTTTCTGATTATAATCATCATATCTCACTAGTGACGGTCTCCAAGAGGTATTTGCTGGAGCTGTAGTGACAAGTAGTAAACAGTGAGATAGTAACTCACTGATGATAATAGTGAGTGCTGGCTCAGTGGTCTAGTGGTTAAGCGTTTGCGCGCAAGACCGATAGGTCCTGGGTTCGAACCTCGCTAGGCGGGGTCGTGGATGCGTACTGCCGAGGGGTCCCACAATAAAACGAGACAGTTATATAGTGCTCCTAGGATTTCCATGTTGGTCTAACATCAATGGATTTATGAATTCAACTATTAAATTACATCACTGTTTTATATGTAAATCAAAATTATTCAAAGCGCATCTTGAACTAGGAGCAAGCATAAATTTGTTCATATTTCTAGTGTTTCATTAAAATATTAACTAACATAGTGATAAAACAAGACTGATATTTCTGTCGAGATAATCTTACTTAATGAAAATAACTAATGTATATAGTAGGGCAATCCTAGTGTCTGTTCAATTAGTTATTACAGAATAAGAATTGATATTGATTAAATAACTGAAATTTCATGAGTTTGATTGATGAAATCCGATCAGTATTAAGAAAACCTGATACATATGACATCGGTCATTTCCCAGTAACTAATCAATTGTATATACACTTCGTGCCAGCAGGAGGTCAATAGTGACTTGAAATCTCAGTGATAATGTCTCTGACCGTGAAGCTGGGTGACATGTGGTCGGATCTGCCAGGTACACGGTGCTAACGAGTGTCATATACCATGAACCCTAAGTTCAGAGTCTATTGTTGACTACCCCCAACCACCTGTTTAATATTTAGAAGTTTTATGTTAAACAAGACAGCCGTCCAGTAATTTTCAGCCTTTATTCGTTTCGCAGTTGTTAACAATCCACTGTTAGAGAAACTTCAAATTGAGTAATTATTGATGGAATTGACATATCAAACGTACATAAACTTTGCAGCTTTCATTCAAATTTGTCATTTACAAAACTGGGGAGAACAACGTATTATAATCAGTATATGTCTGTGGACGTTGTTGAGTTTTAATTCAGATGATAAACCGATAAATGTTAGACTCACATTGGAAACTTGGAAGCACTGGATATGGATTCGCATTGCTGGGGCATTCCATACTAGGTCAAAACAGCCTTCCAGTGCTTCCAGGTTATCAACGATGGTCTTACATTCATTTGCTCATGATCTTAGTTAAACGTATTGTAAGTTGGATTTTAGTTTGATATAATATTTAGTTAATTAGATTTTAAATAGTATTCGGGTACTTGCAAAGATGTAGAATGCTTGCAAGTTTTTACGATAAACCTGTGTATCTAGATTTTAATCTAGCTAATACTTGTCGGCAAAGCATATCTGGCGCCTTGGGGAGGAGAGAAGAAAAATGTGCTTCCTGAGGGATTTTATCCCAAAATAGCCGGTTCCATGATCTTAAACGTTACCGTTGAGATTTATGTAGTAATAAATTTAGCTACATAACCAAAACAGTAGGGCAGCAGGCATTTCTTATACTCATTTCCATTGTGATATCGATCACACATGCCTGAAAAAAATATATATGTACTTATATAATAACCGATTTCATCGTCATAAGAATGGATAAATCGTACAGTTGCTATTCGCCCCCAAATGCCCTGGCACGGCCGAAAGTGGGGAGAGTCAGCTCTCCCTCTCGAAATGCTTTCACATGACCACGCGTATATAGCCTCTGCCAGGGAAGTACTACTCACTGCCCTCGCGTGATGGGGGTGTTGTTTACGGAATCGAGAGGACGAAAAGCGAATGTTCAGCACTTTAACCGGGTTCTTGGACGCGGAGAGTCCACATGAAGGAGTTGGAAAGCCATGATTCCAAACCAATGGTGCGCATGGGCTCCAGTATCCTGAAGGAACAAATAGCGTATGAACAATCGTTGATTACCGGTTACTATGGGACTGCATCTACTGATGTTGCTCCACTGCTTTGTGGATCAGATTTTTAGATCAAAAACTCTGAGTGTGGCCCCCTAAGAAAACCACCTTCGGTTTGGGCACCCGATCAGTATCACATCCCTCACACAAATCAAATGAGATTTGTGTGGTGCATATGTATCTGATGCCTCCTTGTACCAATATTTATGTGTTCAAATAAATAAATAAACAGTTGCTATTCAATTTTTAATTTTGCACTGAAATATTATTTACAACTGAACCTATGAAAAAACTGGGTGATAAAGATATAACAGAGATCGGTTAAAGTAATAAAAATGAAACCAATTGCTATTTACTCTTAGATGGCGTAACTGTTCTCTGGTTTCTATGTAGTGATTTTCATAATTATACAATGAAAACCAGAAAGCACTGAACGGTCGTTACATTCTAGTGTAGAATTCTCAGGCAGTGCACATCCTCGACGTCGTATCCGGAAGTCGAGCCTACGATTTTCGATTTTATACGTCAACACTCAACCTCTAAACCACTGATCTATCATCTAATGATTTACATGTTTGACTCCAAATGATTCTAATAATTCAGTAACTTTTCTCATATTTACAATAAGTTTTATTTATTTCACTTATCATTCAACCGAATCAATTCGTTTATTAATTACATAATTTACTGAACTTGATTCCAACAAAAAAAAACATAAAATATATTACATATATAAAAGACAAAATATCGAATTCTCCATTTATTAAACAACAAATACAATCAAATAATAAACTGTATATTAATACAATGGATCTCATCAAAAATTTTTCAACAATTTATGATCCAAGATCATATCATACATACTTTTATCATAAAAGTAATAAACATCAATAAAATGGAGAGAGAGAGAGAGAGAGAGAGGAAAGAGCAATAACTTGCCATAAACAAATATAACCATATAGGTAAGAATAGGATATCACATTTGTTTTTTAAAATGATAAACATAATTTTAAAAAATATGAAACCATTTTATCTTAAAAAAAACAAAACAAAAAGATTGAATCTATACAATTTGTGTACAGAAACCATACAGTAAATTCATTGACAATTAAACAATGAACACAAATACGTAAATAAATGAAATATAAATTTAGAGAATAGAGAATATCTATGTTTAATGTTTTATTACAATCCAACGTGTATACACATATAACAGATTTGCTTTTATTATTACTGGAATGACTATCATTCTCTCTATTACATAATCATTTGTCATTTCAATATATATAACAGAAAAAGGGAATTCAGTGAAGAAAATTTTCTTTTCGACGAAATCATTTGCTTAAGCTGTACATTAGTATATAAAGTTATATATGGAAAACATCTGTCTATAGGAGAATAGAAAAGATTGCATCACCAAAAATGGATTCGAGACTAAATAACAGATGAGGTTAATGTACTAATCAAAGGGTAAAGATAATAGACCAATTGACAGACATGAAAAGCGACAAACACAAAGGCCATAATAATAAGAAAAGACTGTATGATAATCAAGCAAACTTGTATACTGGTAATAATAATAATAATCAAATAGAGGTGCAGAAAAACAAGAAAAAAAACAGAAACATACCCATTAAGGGATATATATTTTCTATATATAACTACATATACGAATGTACAGCCTAACTAAATGATTTTGTCGAAAAGAAAATTTTCTTCATTGAATTCTCTTTTTCTTATTCAATGACATTATGGATTATTTTAATTATATATAACAGATTTGCCTTAATTATTAATGGAAAGACTGTCATTCTCTTTATTACATAATCCATTGTAATTTCAATATTCATAAAGCGGATTTGCTTTTATCATTATTGGAAAGACTATCATCCACCTTGTTACGTGATCATTTGTCATTACAATAATTTCCAAACAAAAGAAAACGAAAAAAAAACAAAGAAAAACCGTCGAAAAAACAAACAAAACAAACAACCTACTCCAAATGATTATCATATTATTCTTTAGACAATTCATTATTTTCATATAATTTAATAAAATTAACAAATACATCTTCTAATGTTGACTGTCTTATTGATATATTTTCAATGATATTATATTTATTTAAATGATCTAATGCATTAAACAATTTCCATAATGGTTTTGTATTATTATTATTATTAGTAGTAGTAGTAGTAGTAGTAGTATTAGTATTATAATGATATTCTTGTCTTGTTAATAATGGATAACGTAATTGAAAATTAGGTAAATAATTATGTAATAATATTTGTAAATCATTTACATGATTTATATATTTTAATATATTTGATTTAAATTGTAAATCAATATAATAACCTAAACCATATTTTTGTTTTAATTCTAATGGACTACCATGACAACATATTTTACCATTAATTAATAAACCAATATGATTACATAATAATTCACATTCTTCCATACAATGTGAACTTAATAATATAGTACAATTTAATTTGATAGCATTTTTTATATTATTCCATAATAAATATTTTCCTTGTGGATCCATACCAGTTGATGGTTCATCTAAAAATATTATTGATGGATTACCAATAAATGCTATACCACTAGATAATTTACGTTTATTACCACCAGATAATGTATGTATTAAACAATCAGCATATTGTTGTAAACCAATTAATTCAATCATTTCATTAACTTGATTTGTATGATTGAATGATTGTTGTTGATGATGATGATGATGATGACGATGATGATAATGATGATTATGGTGATGATTAGGATGTCTTAAATAACTATAAAATGTTAATAGTTCACGTGGTGTCATAAATTCACATAAAGCATCTTGTTGTGGACAATAACCAATATTTTCACATGCTTTCTCTTTATCTAATGTTATATCATAACCATTTAAATAAATATTTCCATGTGTTATTGTAGAATGACCAGTTAACATAGAATATGTAGTTGATTTTCCAGCACCATTTACACCAAGTAAACCATAACATTGACCTGGTTGAACAGTGAAATTTAATTGTTCTACTGTTGGTTTCTTTTGAGACCAATAATGTTTACATACTGATTTTACGTTGATTGCATATTTTGGTTTTAAAGATGAATCTTCTGTTTTCTTCTTTTATAAAAAAGGGGTAAATGAAATAAAAATAAAATGCACACAAAAAGTAAATGAACAGAATTAATTTAGAAATATGAAACATTACATTATTCAGCCCAATGATAATATGTCAATAATAAATGAAACAGTTCATATTTAATAGTTGAATTCATGAGTCGATTAAACCTAGACCATCATGGAAAACTTGGGAGCAATGGACGGCCATTTCTTTCTAGTATGGGAGTCCTCAGCAGTGCGTATCCATGATCTCGCACACGCGACTCGAACTCAGGACTTATTAGTCTCGTGCATGAACGCTTAACCTCTAGACTACTGAACTGGCATCTAACGGTGTTAATGTCTAACTTCCATCAATCTATGAATAGCTGCGCAACTATTCGTTGATTTCTGAAGTGGATAACCGTCACCGCCCTACATGGGTTGGGCTCCATTGTTCATGGCTTCTCACTAGAAATCCAAGGAATTATCTTAGAGCCAGTCACTATTGGGAACATGATGATTATTTTTAGTATGGGGTTGCACAGATTAAGTTAAAAATCTCGCATTGCTAAGGAGTGCCATACTAGGGAGAAATGGCCGTTCAGTGCTTTCAGGTTTTTTAATGGTGATCTAAAATCAATAGATTTATGGACTTAGTGAAAAACAACTGATCAATTTCCACATCCCCATGCTGTAATAAATTTGACCGTACAAAGTTGATGTACATCACAAGTAATTTCTGAATATATATTGACGACAAAAACTAGATTTTCGAGTAGTGGGAGTTGCATTCTATGTAAAACTTTTAATTTTCTTATTTGATATGGTAACTTTACTGTTACACTGTTCAGATTTCAATTTACAAATGGCACTTATTCATATGTATCAACATGTTTCTAATTTCAGCATTTAAAAAATTTTTCTTTTCAGATAGATGAGGTAATAAGATAGTATTTACACCTTTATCTGTGAGCTTGGTGAATAACAGTCACGAAACGATCTAATAGATAACGCGTTTACCACAGGTCACAACCTCCTATTATGTATACTAAATTCACAACCATAATGAAACTCTATTACATTGATCTTTTGAGAAATAAGTTTATTTAAACCAAACTAAACTACAGTGTGAAATCACATTATAATGAAAATATTTATTAAGATGAATTCATTCTATATGCAGTAAGAATTTTTAGAAGATTCAACTGCATAGAACGTTGCCCCCCACACACTTTTTTTGTTTTCGTTTCACTTCTTTACTGAAGAATACTTGAGATAATAATTGAGATATACATTTTTCAATTAATAGACAGTTAATTGTGTGATTTGTTCTAATAGAGATTAATTATAATGAATCATATGTATTTATTCAATGACTAACGTATATTACATATATGTAATCGTTTGAAAGTTAGCCAACTGTATATTCAAGTATGTATGTAAGAGGAAATATCTTAAATACGATAAAGAAATTATGATCAAGTATTCTAGTGTTATTGTTAAGTTTCTGATGCAGTGATCTTTTTTTCGGAAGTATAATAAATTAAAACTTATCATTACAATAAATGTAAACTAGAATTTTACTCTAGTATAATTATTTTCATGATACTGATTGTGGTGTATGCTATTGAAGTCGATAGACATAAGTAGTATGTAGAACTAATCGAAAGTGAAATGTCTGAAGGCAAAAGGTTGAGAAGATTGAAGAGAATAAGAACAATAACAGAGAATGATTGATAAGGAAATGAGGGAACAATGAATTCGGAGACAATTGACCGATATCTTGCAAATGAAGAATTTACTGTAATGTTCTCTGATTTTACTAAAAGATTCTGTAGTTTTATATTCAAATGCATTTGGTAACCTTATGCGAATTAATAATATGTAGTTTAGATCTGTTAACATGAAAACTGTGATTTATAGGTTTCAACACTGGCTGTGGGCAGTAAATACAGTGCTTCCAGGTTTTCCATGGTAGTCGAGCTTCAATTGACTCATGATTTCAACCAGCGAAATTTCAAAAATCTCCACACAACCCCTTCTGGAAATACAGTAAGTTTAACTAACAACCGATTATGCAAACACATTTTAAGTTATTGTATCAGTCTGAATACACGAAAACCAACGGCTTTTCATCTGTTCATATTACGTATGTTTCTTTCAATAAATCATTTCCTTCTAATTGTAATTAACCAGTTAGAAGTTCAGTTTGAGAAGATAATTACAAATAAAGGCAAGGAAAAGTATTATCTTAAAAAGCATGTCAGTCATATAAATTAAATAGGAGTACGGAAAGTAGACAGCTTTGATGAAGGTCGTAGGATTCAGTCTATTTAGATAATAGTCTGTCATCAATTTTTATCAGACTTGTGGTAGATAGCCTTCAATAAAAATTCTAGCTGTAATTATTTACTTTCAAGAACCAGTTTGTTGAATACTGATGAATTCATTGATCATAGCATATAAAAAATCATCGAATGTCTGATATTACTAGTCATTTCAGTATAAATATGAACTCAAGGAAATAAATCTGGTGATTTTGAGTAGAGTATAGTTGTCTACGCCTTCAATGACCTGTTGTTGCATGGGTAGGATTAGATATTTAGAGTATTCAGAAATACACTGCAATTGGAGGCTATCCGTCAATCAGCTACATAGTATAAAAGTAAGTAATTACAAATCTCAAGTAAATTGACCAGATGATTGATGAAGTTTTCGAAATTCGATATGTGGTGTATGTTACATATGTTGACACACATAAGTAGTATGTAACACCAGTCGGAAGTGAAATCCATGGCATCAGAAGCCTAAGAAGATCAAGTTGAAAAGAATAGATAAGGAAATAAAAAGGAATTGCGAATAGAAAAAATCACACAGAATGTGAAGAACAAATGATGGAAATTTGTGAATGATGTATTCAATGCATTGTCCTCATATTTTACCAAGATGTTCTGTAATCATATATTTAAATACATTGGTTGTCCCTACCTGTATTCTCGTTTATAACAGATACACTTCACAAAATACAGCTTAAGAAAACATCGAGAGCTTAAGGTCATATATCGATGAAGCTGTTAACATGAGAAATTTTACTATTATCAAAAACAAGTTTATTATATCTAACCACCAGATGGTTAGATAACAAATAACTGGTAAATATTTCAATTGTAACATTTCTGAAATTCACTCCACAATTTAATTGAGCGAATTCGTATGTCACAAATATTCCAACAAGCCTAATGAATTACAATAGGACGAGACTATAATTTATGGACGACCTTCGAGCGACGCTGAAATGACCTTGAGAATGGACGCCTACTGATGAGAGTTATAAACCAGTTAGAATTATGAATTAAAGTTGATAGCTAGGGTTAAAAATTAGATTTAGGGTTTTCATCCCGAAATGACATCAGCTATAATGCCAAAACTCTAGTCAGCCAACTGGATGCATGAATTTCGCGCCAAATTACATGACTCGTTATCTTATATCTGATTGGTTCGTCCATAAATTATAGTCTCGCATACCTTGGCTGTGATAGATTGTAAGGGGACTTTTTCTATCAATCTGTTTGTTTGTTCTTTTTCGCATGAAAATTAACTGCAAATCTCTTACCAGTACATGCTAACAGCCATGAACCTGGTATAAAAGTTTATTTAATCTAAGTAACAAAATTATTGAAGCTAATAACCTTAAATTAAGTTATTAAGATTCTAACAGAAATCTTACACAATACAAAATAAGAAATAAACGAAAGAAAAAATAAAGTCTACGTACGTCTAGATTAAAGAAATCTTAAAATTTCTTCATAATACCTACACAGATTGATGATATGCTACACTCTAGTTAATATGTTGATAATGAGTGTATTTGACATTTTCGTTGTATTATAATGATTTAATTAAATAGGTAAATAAAGAAACTGTTATAGTCGAATTCATTAGTCAATTAAACCTAGACCACCATGGAAAACCTGGAAGCACTGGACTCCTCAGCAGTTCACATCTACGATCCTGCTCGTGGGATTGGAACCCAGGATCTTTCGGTCTCGTGCGCGAACACTTATGCTCTAGACTACTGAGCCGGCATCCAGCGGTGTTAATACCTAACTTCAACCAACCCACGAAATTTTTCCACCGTCCGCCAATATCGTCAGATATTTACTTATTTATTTATTTATTTGAACACATAAATATTGGTACAGGGGGGCACAAAATATATATGCGCCACACAAAACAATGAGAATTTAAGAAGGGAAAAAAGGTAAGGAACGTAGGGAATTATAGAAAAACAGAACGATAATGGGGGAGACGAAAAGGTACACTCAGAAGAAATCTTACAGTTAAGGAAGATACAACCACTTTTTACGAAGAAAGTAAAAGAAGGTTACAGCAGGATCTGAGCCATATCTGATAACGTTTCTAGCCACTGTGTTACACCATCTCTCGGACCCCAGCCAGGGAGTCGTGAAGGACCAACACAAGCCAGCCCTTTGCAGCTTTCTTTCATACCACGACACCATGTCATACACTGACGCCTCTCCGCTTTTTCCAACCAGTCCCAGAGTTGGCAAATAATGCACGACGTGGAATTCTCTGGGACGACACTCGCAGAACATATCCAAGCCACCGAAGTCGGTGTTTCAAGATGGTGACACCACTTGCATTATCGTCTCTGTGCCCGAACACATGATGCCGAACCTCTGCATTACTGACATGGTGTTGCCACTGAATGTCAGCAATCCTTCGGAGATAGCCGTGATCGAATACAGAGAGACGTCTGACATCCTCAACTCGGAGAGGCCAGATTTCACAAGCATAGAGCAAAACTGCTCTCACAGACGCGTTTTAGATCCGACCTTTTACAGCCAGACTAACATCACGAAGGCGCCAGAGATGGCCCAGATTGGCGTGGGCTGCTCTGGCTTTCACTATACGTGCATTGATCTCATCACTCACGTCACCACCAGCATTTATGCAGCTACCTAGATACATGAACTTCTCGACTACTTCTATCTGCTCACCATCCAAAGTGAGCACAGGATTAGAATCCTGCCAGTCTTGTAGAAGTACTTTGCACTTCGAAGATGCAAAGCACATACCATACCTACGGACATCGATTGCCAACTGATCAAGTGTGGATTGCATGGCTTGGGCATTATCGCACAGTAAGACAATATCATCCGCAAACTCAAGGTCGATAAGTCTTTCTCCAGGTAACAGATCCACTCCACCATTACTTACATCCATCAGAGCTGTTTCTAGAATGTCGTCGATGGCAAAGTTGAGGAGGAATGGTGAGATTGGACAACCCTGTCTAACCCCACTGCTTGAATGGAACAATGGAGAAAGGTGGTTGTATGCCCTCACTCTGCCTGAGGTGTTTGTATATAAGGCTTTTAGGATGTTAATAAACTTCTCAGGCACACCCTTCTTCAATAGACAATCCCAGAGAACAGTTCTGTCCAACGAATCGAAGGCAGCCCTGATATCAAGAAACACTACGATTGTTAGCCTTTGATAAGTATGGCGGTTTTCTAACATTTGGCGGAGGGTGAAGATATGATCAAAACATCCTCGACCGGAATGAAAATTAGCCTGCTCCTCGCGAGTCAATCCTTCTCGGGTTTTGAACAACCTACGAAATAAAACGGAAGCCAATAGCTTGGACGCAATCGGAAGTAGAATTATCCCCCGATAGTTGTTACAGGAACGACGTGAACTCTTTTTAAAGATAGGGACAACTATCGACTCATTCCATGATGTTGGTACACTCTCTAGTTCCCAGATCTTTGCAAACAACGTCGTCAGTCCCTTAGTCAGAAAGTCACCACCATCTTTAAAAAGAGCCGGAGGTAAGTCGTCTGGGCCCGGTGATTTGTAACGTTTCAAGAGTTGGAGTTCCTTGCGGACTTCCGCCTCATTTGGTGGATCATTCCTCACCGGCCATGGAGGGCACGACAGTCTGAACGACGTTGCCGGAGCAGGAGGCCAATTGAACTGCCCTTCGAAAAATTCTGTCAATCGTCCAAGACGTCTATGGATGTTAGTGATTGGCGTTCCGTCATCCTCTCAGATTGTTTCGCTCACACCAGACTTCTTACTGCCAGTGGCTCGGATGAGTTGGAAGAGCTTCCGGTAATTACCAGATGCAGCTGCTGCTTCCAACTCACTGGCACGCTCCGACCACCAGGCTTCTCGGTCCTCACGCAAGCTTTGCCCGATTTCATTACGTAACATCCTTCGTTTGTGGTCAAACTCACGATCACCCGGAGTAGACCGACGGGGTTTAATGAGTTGTAAGGAACCAGAAGAAACCCAGTGCTTATAAGCGGGACGTTTCGCGAACCCACAACTGGCTTTACCCGCCATTTTCATGGAGTCATACAATTGCAACCAATGCTCATCTATACTTTTCGGTGGAATGGTAGCTAGCCTAGAAGATAGCTCGGTTCGGCACTTACTAGCAACAGAATTTGCAACCAGCTTACTAACATCAATCCTTTGGTGGCGGTCACTTCGTTGTCCACTGAAAAGTAAGGTAAGATTGGTGCAGACCAGAGTATGATTAGATTCCAGATAGGTACTCCCAAAGGAGCGGCGGTCTTGTACACAACCACACCAGCGGTAGCTGATCGCGATGTGATCAATCTGAGTCCAGGCTTGAGATGCAGAGGGAGGACGCCAGGTGGCACATCGGCGATGGCTGTACCAAAAGTTAGTGCTAGCCAGAAACAGGTTGTGGTCTGTGCATAGTTGCAGTAGACGTTCCCTGTTATCTGTCCTGCGACCAACAAGTCCCCATCGGCCACCTAAACAACTCTCTTCTGTGTCTAGACGCCCGACCCGAGCATTCAAGTCTCCGGCTAGTACTACAATATCTGTGGAACTCACTTTTTGGAGAAGAACAGATAACTGGTGGTAGAATTCATCCTTGGTTGCATCCGGGCTGCAATCTGTCGGGACATAGGCGGAGATGATGACAAGACATCGTTTCTCACGCCGATTTCTTCTCTCTTTGATGGAACTTTCTAATCTAACAGCACATAACCGACTGTTAATGGGGATCCAGTCGATTAGTGCTGCCTCAGCTCTAGCGCTTAGTGCGACACCAACGCCAGCAAGACCAGACGAAGATGCCACAGGGTCCCCGGATAAACGCACATAAAACAAGCTTTTTGAAGTGACAGATGGAGAGCGAATTTGTAGTACTTCACCAGAGTCTTGAATACGGGTCTCGGATAGACAACAAACGTCGATATTAAGACTTTCCAAAGACATAGCCAGCCTTATCTGTTGTCCGACCTGCATAAGTGTGCGAACGTTAAAAGCAGCCAGTTTGAATGGTGCGCGTGGTTTCAGAAAAACTGCTTCAGTACTCGAATTCAGTGGTAACATACAATTTTCAACCAGGCAGTGACTCCAGAACGTTTATATAGAACCGAATGTCCACCATAGGTGAGCTGCTGTATAAGTCGAAAAATATGGATAGATAGAGTGGAAATAAAAGAGAGTGAATAGATGACGTGGTAAATAATAATAATAATGTGAATTGTTTGACAGTAAATCGCGGTGAGAATAGAGTTTTTGGAGAATATCATCATTTTCATTATATTTATGTGTGGGCTGTGATACTGCCCGATTGCCCAAACCGAAGCAGGTGGTTTTCTTAGGGGGCCACACCCCGAGCCTTCGACCTAAAGGTCTAACCCACAAGGCAGTGGGGCATCGTGAGGAGATGCAGTCCCATGGAAGCTGGTGATCAAAAATTGGTTCATACGCCATTTGTTCCCGCAGGATACTGGAGTCCATGTGCACCATTGATTTGGGATCCGGTTATAGCGCCGGACATTCGCTTTTCGTCCTTTCATTTTCGTAAACAACACCGGTGTCACGAGAAGGCAATGAGTAGTACTTCCCTGGCAGAGGCTGTATACGCGTAGCCGTGTGGGAGTATTTGGAGAGGGAGGGCGAACCCACATCACTCTCGGCCGTATCAGGGCATTTGGGGGCCAGTTATTTACTGTCTCACAACAGACCTGGTTGAACTCCATCGACCACCGCTCCTAAATAAAACTACAATAAATACCTTTTAAAGTTAGTTAGGAGTGAGCACCTAATAATTATTATCAGAAGGGGATTTTGTGGAGATTTTAGTAATTTATTAGTTGAATTCATTAGTCAATTAAAGCTAGACCACCATGAAAAAACTGGAAGCACTGAACGGCCTTTTCGTTCTAGTATGAAACTCCTCAGTAGTGTGCATCCACTATCCCACTCACAGGATTCGAACCTGGAACCCAGAAAAGTTTACTAAAGAACATATTAAGATGATTTAATTTCATTTAATGTATACATGAAAATCAAAGATGAAATTATTTGCATAACAAAATGTAATACACACACACATAACTTACTTGTATATTTGATTCCAGATCTGCATAATGTATACCAACATATGAATTCATTAAACGATTCCATTTTAATTTATTTCTTTTCCAATGTATTATTTGTATTATATAAAATTGTTTTTCTAATAATAATACAATGATAAATAATAATAATGAATGTAATAATAGGCATCCCATATCAAGTTTCAATAAATTCCATAATGATGTATTATTTTTATATGATATATTAAGTTTATTAAAAAAATCTCTTAATGCTATTGTAAAAAAACTACCACTTAAACAATAATGCGGTGATATACGTAACCACATATTGATTAATTGAGTTGTTGTCGTTCCTGTAGTTCCTCTTGTTGTTTGATAATTTGTACTATCAAGTGTAAGTATTTCAAGAAAGAAACGTACAAATGTTGTCACTGCACCAATTACTAAATTTAAACCACATATTAATACAAATGCTGTACTAGATGATTTAAATAAAAAACTTGCCAAATAAATTAAAGAGACCATAGCTAAACCATATAAATATATAGTTAATATAAATGGATAGATTGTATCTGATTGAATATATGCTGAATTACCATGTATAATAATTATTATTATACATAATGTTGATGAGAATAAATAGGTGATATAATCATTAATATAATTGATTGACCAATAAATTGAAGGTAATAGACCAGATAAAGTTTGTAAATGTTTTGAATTATTATTACGTTCATATACAGGTAAACTAATAAAACTAGCTGGTATAAATGATAAAGCTAATATAAGAAATAATGATAATAAATAATCTGCTTTAATATCATCATTTATTTTACTATTTTCAAATGTATCTGGATATGGTAATGGATGGGTAGTGATAATTATACCAGAATTTGTTGGATTTATTACATCATTATTATTATCATTATAATTGATGTTTACATCATTATATTGTTTATTTAATGTCATTAATCCATTTGATAATAACATACGATATTGTAAATTTTGTAATAAATTTAAATAAGCTACTGATGATATATAACCACGATTATCATACCATAAACGTATTATATTTTTTGGTGGTAAAATTAATTTTAAATCAATTAAGAATTGTTTCCAATCATTAGATTGATGTAATTTAACTGAATAATTATTTAATTTAATAAATAAATTATAAATTATTTCATTTAATTCATATTTTTCATTAGTTTTAAATTCAATACCACCATACATAATATTATATAATAATTTTGTATTATTCATTAAATAATCAGATATATTAATACTACTTAAATTAAGTAGTATATCACCAGTAGCTAATGGATAACAAGGAAATTTATGATTGAATGAATATTTTTCACAATTTTTTGTTAAATATTTTTGATTATTTGTTTGAATTAAACAATTTGTATTAATTTTTGGTTGAAACGTATGTAATTTTGATGAAATACAACCAACACCAGTTAAACTTAATGGATTATTTAATGATTTTAAATAAGATTGAAATGAAACATCTTCGTCATTATGAGGATTATGTGTATAGAAATGTACTAATTCATTAGTAGTATGTGTATTTTTCATAATCCAATGATTAATATCCAATGGTGGTTGTATATTATTTGGTTTAAAATATTCTAAAAATCCAATACCAGTTAATACTAATAAACATGGAAATATAAATTCAATAATCCATGATAATTTATTACGTTTTAAATAAATAAAACGTTTATAAAACATTGCTTTTATCATATTTAGAAGAGAAGGCTTCCTTCTTGAAGTATTTTCATGTTGATAAGGTGAATAATTATTATTAATAAATCCAATCTCCTCAATATTTGATTTATGATTGAATTCAATATTACCATTATATTCATCATCGTAGTTTTCTATATATTCATCATCATTTGAATGATTTCTAGTTATTTGTATATCACCAGTAATTGAAAGAAATACTTCTTCTAATGATGAATTAGCTATTTCATAATGTTTTATATGATGTGATTGACGAAATTCATCATTATCTAATTGTTGAAATAAATTTGTAAATTTTCCAGTTAATGCATCACATGTTGGTAAATGAATAATTAATTTATTTGCATTTCGACTCAATATACGGGCATCATTAACATGTATTTGTATAGCTTTTAGTAATTCTGAGAAACTGTCGTTGTTTCCAGAAGATCCAGAATCAACTTCCAATGATAAATGATATCCTGAACCAAAAGCTGATTTTAATGATAAACTAGAACCAGAACAAAGTAATTTGCCTTCAGAAATAATAGAAATTTGATCAGCTAATAAATCAGTTTCATACATATGATGTGAACTTAATATGATTGTACGTCCTTTACGTAACGATTTTAATAAATCCCAAACAGCACGTCGTGAAAATGGATCTAATGAAGCTGTTGGTTCATCAAGTACTATTACAGATGAATTGCCTAAAAAGGCTAAAAATAATGATAATTTTCTTCGTTGACCACCAGAAAGTCTAGAAGTTTGTTCATTTCGTTTATCAGATAATCCGAGTTTCTGTAAATAATCACCTAATTTTTGATTGATACTTACACGACTCATTCCTTTTAATGTACCAAATAAATGAATGTGTTCAGTAACTGTTAATGAATCATATAAAATATCATATTGAGGACAATATCCTAACATTTGACGTAAAATATCTAAACGTTTATTGGTCACTTCTCCATGCATAATTATTTTACCTTGTGTAGGTTGAAGTATTCCAACTAGTATAGAAAGTAGAGTAGTTTTACCAGCTCCATTACGTCCCAGTATCACAGTAATTTGATCTTCATAAAAATTCATATTAATATTACATAATGCTGCATATTTTGATGATGGATATATTTTAGATAAATTATCAATAATTACAGATGGTGGTATCATAATTGAATGAGAGTTATCATTATTTATTGTTGTCATAATCGTAGAATTTAATAAATTTTGTCTTTCTGTTTGAAATGTATTCATTAATAATTGTGAAGTATTCACAGATATTTCTAATTGATTACCACTGCTTATTTTACGTTTTTTTCGTTTTTTAACATTATTCATTGATGTTGAATGATTTATAATACAATTTGATTGTAATTTATGTATAATGATTATATAACATTTAGTTATCAATGGTATACCCCAAAATGTTAATATACTTAATACAATTATACCAATCCATAAAAATATAATTGAACTACCTAATGATAATATACTATTAGAATGATTTGTTTCCCATATGTTTGCCCATTGTGCACCAATACCTTTGAATTCTAAACGATTTATAAATATCCAACATAATGAATAACTAACTTGTGGTATAAAACAAAATGGTATTAATGATATATCATTTGGTAATTCATTATATCTTAATAATACAGATGCTGGCATAAATAATAAAAAATATATTATACCAGATAATATTGATGCAATTGTTGATTTAACATTTAATAATGTAAATATAACACAATAAAATAAACATGATATTATATAATTCATTATTATAAAATATATCAATATTATATTACTTAATGGTAATATATTACCATATTTTAATATAATTATAATAAATAATGATAATATAGACATTAATATAAATGATATAGTTATCCATGCTAACCAATTCATATAGATTTTAATATTAAATATACGTAAATAATCAATTAATCGATTTTCTTTTTCATCTACCATATATTTAACAGTTAATATAATTGATAATATCCAATTTAATATCATTAATTGTGGTAATAAAAATATTATATTCATTAATAATGGATCAAAATTATATGTACCAGTAGGAAACATTTTCATTTCTATACCAATATTATTAATTAATTGATTATATATATTCATTATATTTAATTTAGATGATGTAACATATAAAAATGATTGAATTAATTGTTCTTGTATATCTATAAAACCACTTGTAAAATATTTCATTTCAGTTTGTGGATCACGATTTGGCATTGTTATAGAATATTTTGATTTTAATTGATAATTATTTGTTTCATATATAAATAACGGATTATTACGTAATGTTATTGATAAAATATTAGGATATTTTATTAATTTTTTTAAAACATTATCATTATTATTATTATTATCATTGATTGATTGATTATAAATTGTATTATTTAAATAACCAGGTAATTGATTAAATATAATTCCAATTGGTGATGATAATAAATTATTTTGTTGTGTTATCATATATTCATGAAATTGTTTATAATTATTAAATGGAATAAATTTTTTATCAATTTGTAAACAATTTGTTAATAAATCATTAAATAAATTCATAAAAAAATCAATAATATTTAATAATAATTTCCAATTGAATTGATTATTATTATATTGATTATTGTTATATTGATTATCATTATTATATTGTTGTATAAAATAATCATAAAAATAATTACATAATTTTTGTATTTCATTTGGAATTATACCAAATTTATTATCTTTACAATATTTTAATTGATTTTTTATTTGTATGAAATTGGTTTGATTATTATTATTAATAAAATCAATATTTAGTAACCATGGACGTAATTCATTAAAATATAATTTAATTAATTGACGTAGATTACGTAATATACGTGTATAGATACCCATATTATAAATGATTTCATCTGTATATTGATTTGATGGATAATATGCTATATTACCAAATAGAAAATAACGTAAACGACCCATTGTTATAAAAAATGGTTTTGAATTTAATAAATGTTTAATTATAGGACATAAATTAAGATTTGGTAATGATTTCTCAGTTAATAATTTTTCTGAAGTTGATATATCAAGTAGATCATTAAATTGAGACATTAAATGATCAATTATTGGAATATTGTTAGATGATTTTGAAGCACCTTGTTCCATGTTCATTTGGTTTAGTTCAATGAAAAATCGACCTAAATCATTTTCATTCGCTGGTGAACCACAAATTAATTGTGACATATATTCCAGTGATTGCATACTAGAACTATTTCTAAATACTAAAAGATAATCATTTATCCATATTCGTAGATTAACAGCAGAAGTTTGTAAACGAGTTAACTTTAAGCCAAGTGATAACCAATCAATAAATTGTTCTGTTCCAAATGTAGCTGGTTCATTTAACCTACAAATAAAATAAACTATGAAGATTTGCTTAGGAACGTAAAACTGGTTATCTCTGTATAAAATGATTGATTTTAGTGTAAAAATCCGAATTACATTATCAATATCATAAAGAACACTAATATTTTTAAGTCAGTCGATGATTCAGTTTGATTATCATAGAACAACAAAATATCATCCATTTTATTTCAGTTAACTTGAATTTTATTACTAACAAAGAAACTAAATATGACCGAAGTTATAAGAAGGGTTTACTGATTGCTAGTTATCATTTGGGTTATTACAAAGGTTGACTACGAATCGGTAAACATAAATATATGATAACCGAATACAGATATGGGAGTAAATTTATACTAGTTGAAGTACTTAAAAAAATATAACACATTGGTGGCAATTTAAGTAATATGGCAGTTTTAATAATGATACGGGTGAGGTTATCCTTAACTCTCTCCAACCTGTTACTAGATCATGTCCACCAATGTTAATTCTTCATTACAATCAAGGTTTCACTGATCATAAACGAAAAATAAGTTGAATAATATAATTAATATAGTAACTAAATACTTATCCAAATAAAGCTATTCTATATATGACATTCAGTGGGGAATATCGTTAAACGCCCGGTCATTTTTGTAATTTTTTAATTAATTTTTTTCATCCCTTTTGGAAAAATTTTTCATCCCATTTTCCAACATTTTCATTCCGTTTCGTCCAATTAATTGGCTAGTTTTAAATTCGTTATAATTGGTCAATTATTTATTAAAATTGTTATAAAACGTCATTACTTGTCGACAGAGTGCATTCTCTTTAAAATATAAACGATATTAACGTACAAAGTGCAAACTCTGTCATTTCTTACGCTGTCACAGAAACGGGGGACGTATTATTGAATACATTGTATCTCATAGCGTTCCAATCACCTGAAGCGTTAAAGAGCGCCATCAGAACTTATGAAAGAGTTACGTACTGTCATTATGCAATGAGAGATCGGAAGCCTTACATTAAATTTGTATGTTGGAGAAATGTCCGTGGAACACCTAGCGGTTCCTCAAAGCCGATTAGATGAAGGAGATAATTTGATTAGTGTTATTATATTTTTCATGAAGAACTTCCATGAACATTCAATGTCCGGCCTTCATATTTTGTAGGTTTATTGAAGATTACTGGACAGTTGCTCGTTAGGATGTGCGTCAAAATCATGTGTGTGATTCCCTGAGGTACGATAGTAATTATTGGATGCGTGGGTCGACGGATGCTGAATTTAAATGAGTGGGACAGGTAAGTGTGCTTAGTAGGACGTATGTCCGAAGAATAATGTATTGCAGTGTATAACAATATGTATTAGGTTGTTTACAGTAAAATGCCTGCAACACCGTTTCAGATCGAGGCTTCCATTCCCACAGATGTTACAATGCCGCTGATCCAACAGACGGCACTCACCAACTATGAAACATACATTGATTAGGATGCTACGTTTAGTAATGACGAGGAGGAAATTGTTTCAGATTTACTAGTAGAAATGTATTTTTACTGTCTAATGTAAATATACACAAATTGATGGTAACACACTGAAAATAGTAATAGTTATAGTTATAAAGCGATTTTCTTATGAAATGACATAGAAAAAATTAATAAGTTTGTTCCAACTGTAAGTTAGTGTAAATTAATAATAAAAAAATATAAAAGTAGAAAAATGTATAACATAAAGAAGTATACATGGAAGGATAGGACATTATGAAATCAACAAGTTATAGATGATTAACAATGATCAACGGTTGATTAATTTGATCAAAACATGGAGTTTGAACAATACAATTATAAATAGAAGAGATAGCAATAATATATTAGGAAAAATTAAAACAATCTAAGATTTTAAAACAGTATTTAGTCAACATACAAATAAATTGAGTTGAAATCCATTGACTATAGATCTGTTACGTAGTTCTTGGAAGGTAATTGTCATATAGGCCTCAGAATGATTAAATTTATTGATCAAACTTATGGGCAAATAAATTTGTATTGAACTGAATATCTAAACTAGTTAACAGGCAATCTATAAATGTTTAAGCTAATTTTGAACAAAAGGTAAATTAGCACGATATGAATAGAAACGAAAAAATATTATTCTAGTATTTATCAATTCTATAATTCTGGAGATTTAAACAAAGTCTTGTTTTTAATTATTTACTCCAATAAACTAAATCAGATACTTATATGTTTGATCAGAGTTATAGGAATAAAATTAATGTAACAATAGTGTATTGTTTTCAATGCTGGTTTAATACCGATCAATTCATGACGTCAATCAAAACTCAACATTCTCCACAACTCGGTACTGATAGTTCATAATGTATGTTCAATGATTATCATCTTGTTTATTGATTGTTGGATCTCATTTTTTTTTCACATTTGTAACTTTTTTTATGAAATCGCACAAACCATACATACTATAAGAATACTATGGGTAGCTTTTTTTAAAAGTGGATACAAAGTGTAGTTTTACAACATATATTCTATTCCATTAAATAGTGTTTTTAAACATATATCCCTAGCTAATGAAATAAATGATTTCATAACACTTTCATAACATTTATATATAATAGGGTTAACATTAGAAAATAAAATTGAATTCATAAGTCAATTGAACGTAGACCCCCATATTAGAATGAAACGGCCGTCCATTGCTTTCAGGTTTTCCATGGTGGTCTAGCTTTAATTAACTCATGAATTCAATTATTAAATTACAACAATATCCACAAAATTTCTATCTGATTAGAAAATAGAATCATTAAATTGATATAAAATCTGGTTTATGGTTAAATGTTGCATGAAATGACTTCTTTTTGTAAATCAGATTTATCAAAAGCAATATTTACCACATCAGATACTAAATATACACAGTTTATTACATATCATCATAACTAAAATATAATCAATCAATCGTGTGTAACATAGAATGTGTTCATCAGTTCAAGTTAATACAGAACATTGACATAGAGACAAATCCCAGAGTAGTAAAAGAAGTAACAATATTAGTATCAGAAAAAAAAGTATCGAAAGAGAAAAAGTATAATCTGATGTAGAAACTAAAGATTTAAATGAAAACAAAGTATCAATACATCCATGTTATTGTAAACTATGCTGAATCATTTCCTTCAATATTTCAAATCACTGATTATAATAATCACTCAAACACCAATTAAGTAGTTTGCACCTATATTAAACTATATAATGTTTATATTGAGCCACATTGATGAACATAGTCAGCCATATAAAATGTTATTATCCTTGTTTAATTTTTCTTTCATAAATGGTCAGAGGAAATAATAAGTAACTTGAAATTGTTCATTGAATAATAAGATCAATTCTTATGTACATCATGTGACTGAATTCATCAGAAATTAAATACATGTATCATAAATGAAACATTAAATGATTTGAAACAAGTTTATATCAAATGTAAATTGTCTTATTTCTTAGATTAACATAGATGTGAAAAACAAATATTGTTTTTGAAACTATGAAATCAAGCACATGTCAAGTAAAACAAATGAGATTGAAACATTATGTAATCATATTCTAGTTATAAACAATGAAAAGAATAATAATGAATACATCTTATCATTATTGTGATCAACTTTGAAATAACCCACAAAACGTTTGCAATCACAGATTACTGTATGTAACTCAAAACTGACTTGAAAATGACCTTAGTTGTCATGTGAAAGAAATTCAAGACCAAATAACATATCTATTTATTTGATTTATTTGTTCATATGGACATTGGTACATGAAAGCACTGAATGAATATGCGCCACACTGTAACAATCAGGCCATTAGTAGTTATCAGTGATTTGTGCGAGGACTATGATAGTGCCCGGGTGGCCAAATCGAGGCAGGTGGTTTCCTTAGGGGAGCCACTACCCGAGCATTTGACCTGAGAATCTAATCCATAAGGCAGTAGAGCAACGTTAGGAGATGAAGTCCCATGGTAGTCGGCGACCAACAATAGGTTCATATGTTATTTGTTCCCTCAAAATCCTGAAACCAATGTACATCATTGGTTTGGAATCAGGGATTTTAACTCCCCTAAGTGGATCCTCCATATCCACCAACTCGGTTAAAGTACCGGATATTCGCCTTTCATACTCTCGATTTCGTAAACAATACCCCCGCCACGATAATGGCAGTGGGTAGGACTTCCCTGACAGTGGCTGCATATAAGTGGCCATGTGAGAACATTTTGTGAGGGAGAGTTGGATTTACCCACCCGCGGTCGTAACACGGCATTTGGTGGCCCCAAAACTTATCAGTAACAATAGATTCTTTATGGACAAGTCATTTATGTAAACCAGACAATAGTAATAGTATCAAAGGAAATAGCTTAGTGAATACAAACTTAATTGGGTTTTATATTTCGTTAATCTTTTCTTAAAATCGATGATAGTGCATAAAACACAAGCTCAAATCAGGTAACATTATAGGTTGGAAGTAGGAATTAAACCTAAAAAACTTATATAACTAAAGCTTGAATAACACAGAGTTCATGAACATAGAGTAACATTGATATAATCAAAGTACTGCATAATTGACCTTTTCAAGGAAAAAGCTAAATCAATATTCATATTTTTGCGGTTAGATATATGAAAATTGGTAACAGTAGCCTTGTCTTCAGTCATATAATTAATGACATACACAAACATTTCGATAGTTTCGAACGACTAACCATCAAAGATGAGTGCAAAAAAAAACATTATTGCATGCTTTTTATATGGTGTTTGAATAATGTTGTTGGTCAGTTGATACTTGTACAACTTTCTATGTATTCATCCAAGTAAGCAAAATTGTTTCATTAAAGATGAAAAACGATGATTCTTAAAATTAAAATGATATCAACGAATAGTTATCAATCAAACATACATTTTTCAAAAACAATTATATTTCAATTACACAATTAATACTACAATACTTCTCATGTGTAATTGTTTAAGATAATTTATT